GATGCAGGGGCTCTTAACGAAATTACTACTTGCAGCCTCTGCAAATACGGCTAAGCACATACTTGACCGTTCTAAATGCATAAATTTGCGTTTAAAAACTCTCTGACGGATCCTTGGCTGTATAATTAAGTTTAAATTTAGACTCGGGAGATGAAAAAGTCCCACCTTATATGCAGCCGGTTATTTGTTTTTCTATTGCTAATTTTAGTCTGCTTTTCTTACGGTTGTTTCCGTAAGTCTTTAGGACATGTTGCTGGCCTGCGGGTCGCTGTTACTGAACGCTTCAATTTACAGGCGTAACTTGTAAGTAACATGTTTGATTTTGTATTGTTTTATTTATTTTTCTGCTTATATATTGACTATATTTTCTCTCTTATGCGTATTTAAAATGTGGAATTAATTATTTGTGTGTATTATGAAATTTTTGTTTATTTGCTCGTTGCTTTCAGTGATCTTGGATGTAATTTTGTTGTTTCATGGGTTTTGAGAGTGAAAATCCGGAATGAAACTTTTAAAAAATCAGAGCGCTAAAAACTTTAGTAATTTCTTATGGAGAACTGATGAAGTTTGAACGCAAAAAAGTAAACAGGTTTGTTACGATTTTTTCAGCCAGAAATCCACTTTTTACATATGGGGTAATGCCTCAATGGCGCTTTAGACCTGAAGAACTGCTTTCTAAAAATCGCCGGTTAAAAATTGTCAACGCACAAATTCAGGGTAAAATGTGTCGAATTTTTTTATCTATTTCTGAGCTTGTTGCTTTTTCGCTTTCCTTTTTGCAAAAATTTTAATATTAATACCTAGAAACTGCTTTTCTAAGGCAAAAATCGATAAATGTGAATTTCTTGCTGTTTAGTATTCAATTAGTGATTTTAGGGCGCTTGTCTGCATAAACTTTTAACTCATTTTTGCATGTCTTTTGTAATTTTTTTCTTAACACCCTGATAATGACCGACGTACAAAAATTTCAGAACTTCCGTCTCTTTGCGATTAAAAATTAATTAATATATTTTTGAATGTTTGTCTGCGTAAACTTTTCTGACTCGTTTTCACAAAAAATGGTTAATTTTCGAATTTTTCGTCGGTCGCAGAACTATGAAATTTTCAGAATCAGTGGCGAAGAAGCTCCTATTTTTTGGGCAAAAATCGTCAGATTTTACGGTTTAAAAGTAATTAAATGATGTTTAAACGCTTGTTATAGCGAACATTCAGCGTCTCCAACTTGCTTTAAAAATATTTCGCAATTTTGGAATTTTTTCC